AGTCAATACGGTGGAATTGCACGAAGTCATGAGAATTTGAGGACTAAAAGCCAGGGGAAAAGTGTAAGCGAAGTTCGCTGGATGTAGATATGCGGTAGAATGAAGAGCTATCGAGCCCATCGATCGCATCCTTGCATTTTCTCGCTTCTGATTGGTTGAATAACACATCCCTGCGCTTTGTCTTTACCCTGAATAGAGACAACGCTCCGGACCTGTATTTTTCATGTAATTAAGCAAGTCTTCAATTCGCTTCCTTCTCTATCGCATTATAGCACTCTCAGTTCTTTTGTCCACTTCGCGTTTTACCGTCCGCTCTAGTAGGCATATTACTACAGATCTGCTGTGCACCCGTGTTCGCGCACCTGTCGCTCCGCTTCGCTAGAATCACTTCCGCTGCCTAACAAGATATTCCAACATATGTTTTGTTAAGGGGAGGTGGATGGAATATAACTTGGAATATCCCGTCATAAGAAGTCCAAATGAATTATTTGATAGCTCTCGAGATGTACACTGTGGGGAAGCCTCCAAGGTAGCTTATCCACGATATGTAACTAAAATTGAGAGAAGCTCAGGGCATTGGAAGGAGTAGATGCATACCACATGGCTGCACAGTGAAATTGAACTTACATAGACCGACTTCCGGTCTTGATCTTAAAGGTCTGATTCATGTTAGCTTAGAGAATACAAGCTTCTACACACACACTGAAGTCTGCCTACAACGTGAACACTACCTACTGAAGTAACCTGCTAGTCCTGTTCATAAGCATGGAGCCCCTATTGAGTTACGTACTCAAAATAACAACAACAATAACAATCATAACAGCACAACGTCGCCAGCCTTACTCAATACTGGTCTTTTGGTGTGGTCATTGGCCAGCCTTGATTATCGGGGCAACCCACCGACCCTAGTACTGTAGAGCCGCTGCAAGATAGAAGGCGGAGAAGGGTAATATTGTCTGTGGCATTGCGAGTTTAAGATTGAGATGGATCATACCTTGCCTTAAATACTTACTTATCAGACGTGATGCGTTAAAAAAAAAGAATAAGGTCTAAAAATGAGACAAAACGGTTCACCGCGCACCCCAGTCATTGAGGAGTACCCGCCCGGTTACCCGGAATATTTCCCAGTCGACTCCCAGAGTCGAACTGGGAGGCCCCCCTAATGGGTCCTGTGGGGCGTCCCACCCCGCCGCAACCGAACCAGTCGGCAACGGATAAGGTAGGAGATGAATGGGTGGATGCAACCGGAAACATAAAACGCGGACTACGTATTCTCTGACGATAACTGCTTCGGCAGATAAGAACCTAGGTACTGAGGTACCATTGGCTACCTAAGGATGCACGTGCACGGTAAGATGCACCCCTGCAAAACATCCCTGTTTTCACCTCCTCGAGCGACATCTCGTGATATCTTGAGAGCATAGTAGTAGAGGCTATTCCGGCTAAATTGAGATCTATAGAAACACCTACGCTCTACAACATAGTTACCCTCACATCCTGCCAAAGTCAACTCAATACCCAATACCCACCCTTCCAGTACAGCATCCCCCCGATGACCTCCCCCAACTCTCTACCGGCCACTATAGGCCAAATATCAGGCAATTGAGCCTATAATCACTAGGAGGAGTTTACCTACTATTGATATCTATATTAAGTTAGTAGTGAAGGAGGAGGCTTCGAAATGGTAAAATGGGAGAGTCCCAATGAGGGGGACTAATCTGCATAAAATATGCAATTCCGAGCACTTCCATTGATCCATCAGATTCGCCTTGTTTATTTTACCCTCAACCCCCACCCTTCAATCGCGGGATATGCTGGCCTCTTCCCAGGCATTGTAACCCCTTGCAGCAACCATGATCTCACCAAGCATGGCCAATAGCCGCATCGGATACCTATCATACTAGGAGGGCTACTTGGTTGAGGTTGGGCTTTGGGTTGGTCGCTAGGTTAGTCTCTAAGTTAGTCTTCTCTGGGTTGGTCACCAGGTTAGATACTAGGTTAGATACTGGGTTGGATAATGAAGGATAATGGAAGCACAGCCAGGCTGGATGCTAATAGCTTTAGCAGATGCTAGGAGAGGAGGTAGGTCAATACTGGGTTAGATTCTAACTTGGACGTCGAGGGAGGAGCTGGATTGGATGCTAGGTTGGATGCTAGGTTAAATGGTGGGTTAGACGGTGGAATAAATGCTGGGCACTTGGTTAGGCCCTAGTTTGGAAATTGGGTTAGATGGGAGAGCTACTGGGTTGGACACTGGGTTGGACACTGGGTTGGAATACTGGTATGGATAGTGTTTGGACACTGTGTAAGCTAAAATAGCTGGGTTGCACTCCCGGTTGGATGTTAGGTGATCTAGAGTAGCTAAATTGGATGCTAAGTTGGGCTCTAGGTTGATCATGAGCATATGGTTGCTGCAAGGGGTTACAATGCCTGGGAAGAGGCCAGCATATCCCGCGAATGAAGCAACCTTTGAAGCCCAAAATGGGGGGGTATAGAAGCTTCTTAAGCTATTGGGGACCTCTGCGTAGGTGCTAAGGATGCTCTGGAGTGCCTTAATAAAGCGATTGAAGGGTGGGGGTTGAGGGTAAAGTAAACAAGGCGAATCTGATGGATCAATGGAAGCGCTCGGAATTGCATATTTTATGCAGATTAGTGCTCCTAATTGAGACTCTCCCATTTTACCATTTCGAAGCCTCCTCCTTCACTACTAATTTAATATAGATATCAATAGTAGGTAAACGCCTCCTAGTGATTATAGGCTCAATTGCCTGATATTTGGCCTATAGTGGCCGGCGGAGAGGTGGGGGAGGTCATCGGGGGGATGCTGTACTGGAAGGGTGGGTATTGGGTATTGAGTTGACTTTGGCAGGATGTGAGGGTAACTATGTTGTAGAGCGTAGGTGTTTCTATAGATCTCAATTTAGCCAGAATAGCCTCTAACTACTATGCTCTCAAGATATCACGAGATGTCGCTCGAGGAGGTGAAAACAGGGATGTTTTGCAGGGGTGCATCCTACCGTGCACGTGCATTCTTAGGTAGCCAATGGTAACAGATTTTTATTTATTTATAATACTCATTACACAAATTCGGTCCCAGTAGGGGGACCATGATGAGCCTACCCTGGATTCAGGACAAAAAAAGTTAATCTGTCAGGTGAGGCGTGCAAAATTGCAGCCAGCAAATGGAAATGCTCAAGTGATGTAAAAGAAACATCTCGCAAAGAAAGCTCAAAGACCCGGTGATGAAACTTCTCGTGAGTGTAAGATCCGGTAAGAGTAAAGGAGGAAGCATCCGTGCTGTCGTTAACCGGCTATTGCCAGAGACCTGACTGAAGTTTGTGAGGTAACAGAACCTCTCCCGAGTAGGAAGGACCCGCCAATAGAACACCTCGCCAGTAGGAAAGACTCAAGTAGAAGACCCACAAGTGTCAAACTCCATTAGAGGGTCCGCCAATGTCAAACCTCCCCGAGGCACTGGTAGGAAAAATAAAGCCAAAACCCCTCAAGTGTAAAAACGCATACTGTCATGTCCCATTACAAAAATAAAGAAATGCCGCTTAAGTGAAAAAGAACGCTCGGTCATATACTTATCGTTTCCGGTGGAGAGAATCATCTGTTCCCGCCGTACTCTGTGGTGCAGAACAATCTCTTGCCTATGACGAGCCCGCTTTCATATCAATCTCCTATGCCAAGTAGATAACCGGTGATGGCGCCAACTTTCCGACCATCCTCTAACCAACGAATGCCTACAATATGAGCCCTCTCGTTGTCTTCCTCAATCCAACGGCGCATCAAGCCGGGCTTGTACTTCGTTGGGGTGCGTGAAATACTACGGCCCTTTGCTCGCACCGATGGCGACTTAATCAGAAGGTCCGAGGGTGGTGCCACCACCGCCGGCTCTTTGCATTTACCCCTTCTCACTCAATTTCTCAGGGACTGGCTATTTCCTGGTGGATTTGGTCGCTGCCTCCGCGTATGTGGGTGCTGGAGGCGGGTAGGCGGGGTGGGGGGGGTCGGTGTTGATGGAAACATTGTTCCGTGTAGTCTGGGTGGCTGTTGGGGGGGGGTCAGTCGGCTGTGTCTCGGTGATTGCCTCCTGCATTAGGGGATGATCGGTGAGAGTCGATTAGCTGTTATGTGTCGTCTTATATACTGCTGTCTGTGTCTCCGTTGGGTTCATTTACAGGGTGATCGGAGGTGTAGTCTGAGTAGCTGTGTCTGACACTGGTGCTGGCGGTGGTGATAATGACGGAGTTTAACTGCTCTGTATGAAATCTCGTTGCACACGGAACTCTCAGCATTGCGCCTGAAGTACATACTGCTCAATCATATGCAATGTCCGTAGTAATAGAAATCCCACCGATCAAATGATTCAGAACGGACATCCTGTTTTATCAACGCCTGTCATAAGTAACCCATGCAAACTTTCCTGCATGCAACTTCTTCCGCAACTTCTTCAGGATCCGCTACTCGTTGTTTGGCGGTGGTGGAGCCATGTCTTTCGTATCTGTTGGGCAATGGCTCTGGGTACCCGGTGACTGGTAGCCGCGTCTTGTGTGGTGGGGTTTCGCCGATCCAGTGTCCCCAGATTATTCTTTGTTTCCCTTGCCTGGCATGTCGTCTGGGAGGAAGGATGTGGTTGGCTAGGTAGTTGGTGTGGGAGTTATGAAAACTGGGATTGGATGATGGTGACGGTCTTGATGTGAGAGGGAAGGGTGATTGGATAGGGTGGGAGTTATCTTCGTGTGGATTGGACGGCGGTGGACTGAAGGTGCTGAACTGACAGGCCTTCAGCACGAAGCAGTCGAGAAGAATTGCAGGATATCGTAGGAATTGGGATATGTTGGAGGGCACGTCAATCTCTATCGGAATGAAGTTGTTTTGGCCTCGGGGGACCTGACTGAAATAACGCGTAGTTACATAACGTCGATTTATATGTACTAGAGGCTGTATAAAATGCAAAACAATAGTATTTGTCGCATATCTAACATCTATTAAAAGGCACAGTGGTCTAGTGGTATGATATTTGCTATGTAGTGTACTGCTGATTGCAGGCAGAGGGCAAGTGACCTGGGTTCAATTCCCAGTTGAGCCGTTATTTTTTTATTTCGTTTTTGACTAGTATTCATCGACTCCACTACAGAAGCTTCGACCGTGTTTGTTTTCATGTTTTTGTCAAATCAGTAGAGCTTGAGGCAAGATTAATGCCAAAGGCACTTGATGTTTCTGTGCTGCAAGCTGACCGAGTCCTGGAGGAGGGTGGAAAACTAAAACTAAACCCCATCACCCTCAGAGCAAAGTCGGATTCACCACCATGGGTGTGGGAGGGACTATTGGCAAGCGAAGACAGAAGGGTGATTTATACGGATAGGAGTATGAGCGAGAAAGGATGGAATGAAGACCGAACGGTGCCAAAGAGATTGACGGGGTATTGCAGGCGGCAGGATATCGGGACAACCGTAGTGCTCGGTAAAACTATTATTGGAAAGGTCTTGATGCATTGAAGATCATAGAATCTTAGTTCATCTCGATTGCCATAATATTGACGGAGTTATTACCCATAATAGGTAAACCTCCTGATGACCTATATGCCATATTCCCAAGGCCTTATATCTCCATGAGTTTAGCCGCGACTGTAAAATGGACTTCAGATTCGGATTCAGCGCACTGAATAGGCTAGGATAGGACCTTGAAAGAATTGTTTTAAACGACTTTTCATTTAGGATCTGTTTTCACCTATTGTATGTTGGACCATACCCTCTTATAGTGTCACCAGACGCGCTTTGGTCTAAAGGCACCCTCACAGCTTGAGTTTTTGATGTATTTTTGCCGAATTTTTTTTCGCGAGTTCAGGGTAACCGCTGCTGAGTTCAGGGTAACTGACTGTATGCGATAGAGAAACGCAGGGATAACAGGGGCCTGAAGATCAATAGCAGATGACAAAGTCTTGACTGTCTCGGACTCAAAAGCCGCCATAGCTACAGTAGTTCAAACCCGGAAAGAGAGGGAAACCTACGATGCATGCATGACCTTAAGAGGGTTATAGAAAATATCAAAAGAAGAGTGAAAAAATTCGGAAAAGAGGCAGTGAATCGAACAGGTGAAAGCACATGTGGGAGGATTAAAGGAAATGGGAGAGCAGATGAATTGGCAAAGAAGGGGGTCAGCAGGATGATTGAAGGCCCCAAGTGACGGAGAAAAGATTGAAACAGAGTGGAAGGGATGAGGAAAGCGGAGAAGGAGGTAAAAAGGACGGTGATGAGGAAGGTATGGTGGAATCGGAAAGCTCTTACTCAGCTATACTTATCTCAGGATTGGTAAGGAAACTGCAGAAATAGCAGCGGGTACTAATGACAGACTCAACCTGAAGGAAGTTCGGAGAATATGTAAAAGTATCCTGAATACATGATGAACAGTTAGGAAAAATGTGGGGACATGCGAAGAGATGGATGACAAGAAGAAGTGGATGAGGGAGGTAAAACAGGATTAGTTGCTAACGGTTGACTTGGTGGAGACCTTCTTTTACGAGGTTGGAACTGGGATAATAAATTATGAGTTTTTTTTTGGACAAGGATATCGGGAATGGGGCTTTTCTTTGTTATATCCGATAAGCTGACAGCGGCATGGTTGTGGGGCTCACGTGAGATTTTGGCGCTTAAGGATTTCTCTGTTTAGGTATCTAGGGTCATCAGCGGGGTATTTAAGAGGGACGGCTTTCCTTACTTTATTACGGGTAGTATCAAGCACGCGGCTTCTCTCTTATCAGGTATACGGATATATCTCTGACTCATAAAGATCACGGTTTCTTCAGTACGCACCTGTTGTACTGAAAGTATTAAAGCGGGACCTTTAAAGGGGGTGCATCGGGGCCTTAGGTGACTGCCAGTTACTAGACTTTTGAAAGAAACAAAAAAAAACAGGAAAATTTCAGGGTAATAGGGGGCAAGGGTCTTAAGTTTTAAGGCTAATTAGCGAAGGAAAAAGAACTACGCAGGAAGTAGTATGGTAATTGAATGTTATGGAAATAAATGATATAACGACAGGAATAACCGAACAAGAAAAGGAAGTGGTCCAACTGAATGGTCGAAGAAGTTCAGGGTAACTCGAGTGTGTGGTGGCAGGGACTCGAGTGTGTGGTGGCAGGGTAAACCCGGGTGTGTGGGGAATGTGCGGACCAACAGACACATCTTGAATAATCTGACTTCCAACACACCCTGCCCTGTATCTATATTGTCGTTGCATAGAACAAACTGATATCTCAGTTGCGGTGCCTCCTACACCTTTTCCCCAATTCCGGGCGCCATCTATCCTCTCCGCTGGAGCAGGAACCCCACCAAAGAGTCGACATAATTCCTGGGATATCTGTCTCTTGTCAGCAACTGGATGGTCCAGATACGAGGAGTGAGTTTCGAAAAAAAAAAAAAAAAAAAAAAAACAATACCTGGGCTACCCTTGATTACCTCAAATCCCTCACTGTAGCATAAACTGGCAGGTTTGGTCCTTGACGTTAAGCTTATTTCCACCGTTGGGAGCAGAGGTACATCTTATCTCTCAGCTTTTGAATGTATATCTGGTGGTGATGGCGACGATGGGTATGCCATTCTTCGTTCTGGTAAGTCGATTTCGGCTTCAGCGGTGGTCGTAGAAACTGAAAATGAGCTTTCAGACATGGATTAAATATTGAGGATGAAGGACTACTGTTTCTCTCGGGGTCAAGGCTTCTAGGTCCTAGACTGGATGATGAGGCGGATAGGAATGCTTCATTTGAGTCTGGAGGATGTGATGGTTAGTGCATGCGTAATCGATCCCGCAGGGAGTCTATGGCGCTCTCAAATTGCTCCTCTGCTTTACACCTATTAGTAGCGCACATAATCCCATTTAACCACAACACAGCTTACTGACCCTCTGGGAATACCAGGTCTCAGTATAACTCCCAAGATTGGTAGCCTCCGGGTACGGGGGAGACTGGCAGGCGGCAAAGGTGTGCGACGGGGTATGGGAAAGGAAGAAGATGTAGGAGATTTTCAGTATTTAATTAATGATGAGATGGAGCCCTGCGGTAGGGCAACCCGCCGTCCAATAGGGCTACCAGAATGCGTTCCTGCGTCATAGATCAAAGATCTCCATACGGGCAAAGAATTTCTGTCAGATACAAAAAAACGCAAAAGCTTGATTTGGTGGCTCTCATATATTGGAACTGCTTGACCCGTCTGGTGGTTAGTCACATATCAGGCCTATTTAAGTTGGGGGGCCAGCAACGTACCCTGGCAAAGCTCAGGAAGTCAAGGGCAGAATTGGAGCTGGAGGTTTCTCCATGGTGGTTGGTGATACTGCAGAGGAAAGGTAGGGGACGTAGAGGAGGATTTGGTTTCATTAAGAGAGTCACCCGGAAATCCAAACAAAGTTAATTTACCAGTCCGAGCAGGACAGACAAAAGAGCCGATACCAGATGAGCAGTATTTGGTTGATGCACCGCTATCGTACTTGACAGACTTGATTAGCTAGATATATCCATTGTATAATCAGTATTCATACTTCAGAGTCGTTACTTTAGTTTATATTCATAGTAACCAGCAATATCCAAATACAGTACCATATACCTGGCATAGAATACAGGCTCCCATGACCATAAACTTCCATACAACCTTGCCAATGTCTGGTAAATACGGACTGCCTTCGAAATTTCGTTACATGTAACTTCATCTTTTTTTCGTGGCCTACTATCATACATCATGTATCCCTGCTTTATCGTTGTCCTTATCGTCGCCCTCGTATCGACGATGTGTTGAGCCTCAGGGGGCAATAATTTATGTGGAAGCTGATAACCTCTGGAAGTAGATGATACAAGAATGTTAGATTTTGGATATCTTGGGGGCTTACCCCCAGGGGGTGTAACTCCTTCTCGTTATTGCTCATGAATTTCTGACTCCGGCTTCCCAACCATTTCCTTCCGGCTTATCTGCAAAATGCTGTTGGGGTTCGTATAGTGATTTGAAATGCTGCTACAGGTCCCTTGAGGATGGGCCCAGGGGCACCGGTCGCCATCATTTCCGCCTCCATGGAGTTACGCACCTCTTCATGGGTAAATTGATATCCGGAAGCAGGTTCTCTTTCTTTAAGGTCGTACACCGTGGGAAGTGTTCTCCTGCATCTTGAAGGATTTTAGATTCCTAGACTTCGTACTGTAGTCTGTGTGGAAAGTTGGAAATTGAAGGAGGAGCAGGCGTCGTATGTGGAAAAGTATGGGTGTCGATAGAAAGCGCTGAAAGATGAAGGAGCACGAGACCAACCAAGCTTACTAATGCGTTTACTTCTGAGTTATTACATAAGCGCGGTCATCTGAATATGACCTCGCTATTCCAATCTTCTCTGGATTACATCTAATATAAAATGACCAAAGCAAGAAAAGTGCCTGCTGGACACTACTTCAGACAGAGAAGTAACCTTGAGTATGCCACCCTGAACCATCTTTACACAGCCTTGTTGTGGGTGTCTGAACATTTGGATTTTAGGAAACGAGAAAGCCGAGAATAATGGCGTGGCACCCGAAAGCCACCTATGAGGATATTCGACCCAGGAGCAAGAAGATTTATAGTGGAACCCGCTTGGAGTTAAGCCACACTGTGGGAAGAGCAGATATTCTACACCTAGACACTGGCACCCAACGCAGCTGGATGCACACAGGGAACTGCGGAAAAAAGGATACTACATTGTCCCCGATTGCCCGCAGCGCAACACAATCAGGAGAGACCATATGCGGACAGCCACAACCTGGGAGAAGCTAGACGAATTCCCCTTATACCCCAGCAGAAGAGGAAATGATTTTGCTGGAATAGCTCCTGTGTCTCCGAGGACTCAGATGTTGACGAAACGGTTTTGTAAACAGAAGAAAGAATTCTCCGAATCAATTTTAGATGGATGATGAAAGACAATCCTACGAACGGATTTTGGATAGCATGCGTTGCCTCTTATCAAGCATAGCTATACCCCCCAGGGCCCGGTTGTGAGGAAGCGATTTGCAAACAAAAGTAAGAGAACTTTCCAAACTGATTACGCTTCCAGGACGATCATCTCTCAATTGGCTTGCTAGTTGAG